TCACAGTGTTTTGTGGAGCCTCAGGTGAATATCCACAGGAATGTGGCTAATAGCTTTTCCTTCACATCCTGTATAAATCACCAAGGACTCTGCAGGTCGGACAGACATTGTTGACGTGTAACGACTGTCAGTTTTCTGGTTCTTGCATTATGTTGACAGGAGGACAGTATAGTTTTGCCACACCTGGCGACCAGAACTTGTCTCGTTGCCAGCCGTGTGTACGGCTGAGTACACTGAAGCTTCACAAATGTCAACAAGACCTCGACGGGGGCGGTGATCACTTCAGTGTTATAACTTCATACAGAACATCTCTTTCGCTTTGAGTTAATATCAATTGATGAGTGTACGGTGAGCCGTGAGAAGTAAAGACCAACAAGTGTTTCAGCCTCACAGAGCTCGTATTTTGAGTAACCTCATTAAGAGTTGTAGCGAGACACTGGAGAGAGCAGCAGCAACACCTTGAATTCGCTCACCTAAGACAACGGTTGTATTCATCCCGCCTCTCCTCTCCTCTCCTCCCTCCACCTTACCGACTCCGTTACCACCAGGATACAACTCAGATAATAACACTTCCACCATAACTACCGCAGTTATCTCGGTATAATAGGTCAAGTATCATCATCTGGGAGACTAAGAATGACCTGCCGGAGATTTAATCCGATTTGCTGCCTGTGAGCGGGTGGTTCCTCGCCATCACCACCACCGAGGGGGACGTGAGGCCTTCCCTGCACCAGGTGGCCTGACTGACATTCATCACCTGTGTTCTGAAAGACCTCCGCCTGATACTCCTCCAGAGTCAGACATCAGATGAATCCAGCGTCTGGTAAATCTGATTTGACATAAAACTTAATTACATGATTTGAAACTGATGGAATATAGACCATGACACACCAGTAATACTGTATCATCTTGATACATGTTTGTGTGTGTATGGTGTATGTTATTACCATACATATAGCATAGCTGCTGTGTAGTCGTAGACATATCTAAAGCAGACAAAAGGAAACCTGTTAGCCCGTCAGTACTGTGGTGTATCGCCTTGCATGAAGGTGACGCGTGTGGCCCCTCTCCCCTGTACAGTATATAAACTGGCCGCCGCGGGCCGCTGGTGGTGGTAGCTCTAGTTCCGGGACCACCTGACGCAGTTGTTATGCTGGCGGCGTCGACTGACCGCCCCATCACTATGCCGCTGTCGTGGGATTTTCGCGGTACTATTTGATATTGTAAAACATTATTTTTTCTATTTAGATGAGTTTTAGAGTCTGCTGCCGTTAAGTCTTGCTTACAAATAAGAGCAAATTATGCTTTGAGGAGAACATGAACAAAAGGTATGGTGTGGTGGGGCGAGGGAGGGCTGAACACAGGCTGGATAACATCATTCTCGATCACAGCAAAAAGCACAGTTAAGGAGCACCCTGAAATTACCTCTAAAACGGCTTCTTGTTCTCTCTAAGACCTCTCCGCCCCCTCATCTTGTCTTTGTACTCTATCACCCTTTCCTCTTTACTTCTTCTCTCCTGATCTCCCTGTGTTCCTCTCCGTATCTTATCCTTTCTTTCTCACGCCAGACACTCGATAAACACATTCACAGTATCGTACTTACATCACTCCTGTCTTCTCTATTGTCACACCTCCATGTATTGTATATTTATAATCTGTCTTAGTATTGAACTATATATTCCTCATCATCAATTATCTCTTATTACACATACATTTATATCAATCTTTCATCATTTTCATTATTTTTGGTACTTTATATTTCCCTATAGCTCCTTCCATTCCTCTATCATTAACTAGCACACACACACACACATACACACACACACACACACACACACACACAGGAAAGCTTAGCAAAACAAAAACGATTTATTTTATACTCAAAACGGAAAAAAATGCAAATATTAATTATCTATTCTTCAGAGATCAGGGTTAAGTTTTTGGTCGAGAGAGAGAGAGAGAGAGAGAGAGAGAGAGAGAGAGAGAGAGAGAGAGAGAGAGAGAGAGAGAGAGAGAGAGAGAGAGAGAGACTTACGAGTGAAACAAGGATTGATATGCCCGCAGACTTTAAGCTGTTTCTGTGTGTGTAACAATAATAATAATAATAAAAATAATAATAATAATAATAATAATAATTAACGGTGTGTGTGTGTGTGTGTGAAGACCTGACACAGATCTACTTTATTTCTTCATCCTCTTATCTGCCTGTCCCCTATACAGGGGTCCTTGTTATAAGTGGTTAATAGGGACCAGAAAAAGGCCACTAATAATGAAACCACTTATAAAGGGGAATTAATTCCCATAAGAATGAATAGGGATCGGGTCTAATCGGGACCATCACATTGTAAGTGACACACATAAGTTTAATTTTATGAAATTATTTAACTTTATAACTTATTTAAGGTACTTAATGTCGTTTGGGGTCAGTGTGTTGATGCTGCGCAGGCTACCTAACCACACACTCGCACACTCATTTCAGTGAAAGTGGTTCACTGAAACACGCTCACCACTTTTCTTACGACATGTAACTTCTAATTTCACGTCCATCTCATAGCTACTACACATTCTTTTAGTCATCTTGTTTCAGTTTGGAACTGATGGCTACAAAAATAGTCCACCAGTGTCACCAAAGACACAACATAATTGATAATTATAGTTTTAGAACACTTAAAAATGATGTCTGTGGATACAGGCGACTGGTACTGAGCATGCATAGCGCGGGTGAGAAGGATGACCTTTAAGAGAATGGGAAGCGGGCAGGAATTTCAATTGCTCAAACACTTAACTACGGTGACTTTTTACGTGTAGGTCCACAATTATTTGACCCCTTAAGTGCAAAACCCCTTAGAATGAAGACACTTGCAACGAGGACCCCTTACATCTCTCTCTCTCTCTCTCTCTCTCTCTCTCTCTCTCTCTCTCTCTCTCTCTCTCTCTCTCTCTCTTGTCTTTTTGTCAGTCTGTATATTTGTCTTTATCTGTTTCTTCCCGATTATCTCATTGATTATCCCCCTTCACTCCCCACTAGTCTCACAGTTAATTATCTCTTAACACTGCTTGTCACTCCTTGATCCCTCGCTTCCCCGCACCTTGTGGCAGCGAGTGTCTCTCCTCCTACACGTCGCCTCCAGCTCCCCCATTGTGTGATGTAAACACTCGTCTGAGGCTCCATACAATTTTTAAATACAAACTAAATGGAGACGTGTCCTTATTTATAGAGTACAATGGTGACTGTACCATACCGTGTGACGCAGGTGTCATGGACAGTCATTCGAACAATTTTAGCACATTATTTGCCCTTTTATTGACAAACAATATTGAAGAAATGTTGTTCCATTCATCAAGTTCTCTCATGAAACTGATTAATTTTGTTTTCCAATTCTAATCTTTGATAAAACCATACAAACCATCTTCTGAAACAGGCTAAAAGAATCGACTTAACGCAACCTAACCTGAAGTAACCCATTAACGCTCTTAGAATACATTATAGTTAAGTTAGGGATGGTTAAGTAAGGTCGGGTTGAGTTTGGTTTAAAAGAAGATTGAGATACCACAGCCGCCACACGGGTGAGGCCAACAGTACTGCTCTAGACAACATTACCAGCAACAATACACCCTTCCGTAAACAGCCTCTTCTTCACAGTGAACACATACACTCCAATTATAAACAATGACATCCAGGAAGACAAAACATATTCATACAGACACATACACAGAAGAAATAACATCTGTATATACAGGACACGTAAAAATATACCAACTACACTTGAATACATAAGACACAGGGTTGCATGCAAGGCACTCATCTCCCTCAGTTACTCACCTTATTGAATAATGGAAAAAAAAGATTGATGTATAGTACTGACAGACAGCGTACATTACACACACACACACACACACACACACACACACACACACACACACGTGCATAAATATGTCATATTCCTGTAGTAGAACGCACATATATGTATACATAATACACACATATGGGTACCTATTTATACAAAGCTCTCATTTAAGTATATGATACTCTTATGTATAACCAGCAGATATAACTTAGTATGATACACACATCTATATCTATATCACATGTCTGAGTTCATAAAGTTTACGCACTTAGATGCAAGACATAGCAAGAAAATAAAATATCATGTACAAAATACAGATTGCTTCATATACACACTAACCGGACACCACTTGCTGAATGACGCACAGAAAACACACACACACACACAAGTGACCACGTCCTCCTGTTCTTGAAGAATAGCGACAAGTCGTGGTTGTGGCCGGAGGGAGCACACAGACAAGCGTCGCTAATGGATCATAACGGTATCCTGCAAGACAAGAAAACCTAACTCCAGGTACTGACGCGTGACAACTTTCCACCGTGAGATACTATACCAGCGAAAACCATAGCCCAAATGTGTGTGTGTGTGGTGATCTGTGGAGGCCGAGCAGTGTGAGGTAAACGTATGCTTACCGGCACACACAGACGTTGATGCTGCCTCTAGATCGTTTGCTCGTCCTTTACGCCGCCCAAACACGGGGTAAATTTACAGGTGCGTCTCTCCCGGTTGATCACCCTTGAGGTATCACAGGAGGAAAAGTTCGATTTCTCCTTGCAGGATATTGTGTTGGTGATGACAGTGTGGCTGGTGTGGGGGGACACTTCACACTCGCCTTTACCTTCAGTGCCAAGACCTCACTTTTTGTCTGACTTATCATGAGCTGGTACACATGTGGCTCCCTCTAGTTCACGACTGCTCCACTTCCATCACCCGCGTGGGGAGCGATAGTTAATACTGTAGTCTTTAGTGTCCAAATAAATACGTGCAATAAAACAGACTGTAACTCAGTTTTCTTTGAATAGTAACAAATAAAAGAAAAAGTATGTGAGTATGACCCCAAGACACCATACACGATAACTCCACAGAAAACGGAAGGTGGCAACCTGAAGCGCGCCTTATATAAAGGAGGCGGCGCATGTGAGCCCACAGTAGGTGGATCTCTGTGAACACTTAAAGCACAAAGGTGTGGGAAAGTCTCCTCCCCTGTAGTGCTGTTGTCACACGAGCTGTACGAACTCAGGTGTGTGTGTGTGTGTGTGTGAGTGAGTGCGGTGTGACGGGCTGAGGTGTGGGGTGACGGTGGTGTGTGTGGGGGTCCTGCCTAGCTGACCACACAGAAAAACTTATATCATTTCTGTAAACCTGAGTGAAGTTGTCTCCTCCATTTGTCGTAAACTCATATAATGAGAGTAAACGTTAAATACAGCACTGTAGAAGAACAACATACGAATACATTAGTCGTCATAAACCAAGAAAAAGAACAAAACTAATAGAAAATTAATAAGCAATACGAGCAAAGGACAAGAAAATTAGATATTAGTTGACTGAAAATGGAAGCTATAAGGTAACATTAAATTAGTCGACGTTACTAGAATAAACAGACAGCAAATTAAAATTCTCCGCAAATCTCACAAGTCACAGCGGCGGCGTCGAGAGAAACATCCAAACAAGCAGAGCGGGAGTGTGTCCAGCACAAGTTCCGGGAGCGGTACAAATAGAGGCGCGAGACGAGTAAACAAGCTCATCCACACAATAAAGACGAGAGGCTCTGACAGGGCTTGGCGCCGCCGGATAGAAAGTGTAGTCATACACCTTATACACACGAGGGTGACGTTAACGAGGAGAGCCACGGTGAAGGAGGAAACAAGTGACGAAGACAAGGAAGAGAAAAGAAAACATAAGGCGAGTGAGAGAAGAGGAGGGAGGTTCTCCTCCCCTGTAGGGCCGGAGGGCAGAAGGTTCGGGGTCGCACTGGAGAAAGTGGAACGGACACGCCCCCTCCACCATGACGATGTTGTTGCTGCTGCTGCTGCCCCTGCGTGGTGAGTTTTACTTGTTGCCTTGTGGGTGTGCGGGTGTGGGCGTGTGCCCGGATCTAGGTTACCCTTGCACGCCCACGCTCCTCACGCCCACTCTTATTACCATCATCAGTATTACTACTATAAATGTCATCATTACTATTAACAGTATTAATACTATACTTTTATTATTATAAAGACTATTATCATTATTACCATTATTATTATAGCCGCCACCCTTTTAATATTGATACTTTAACTATTATACTTCACCAAAAGCCTGACCACAGTAAATTAGTAAGGCGTTTATGGTACAAGTGTCGTAACTCAGGGACTAAGACACGCCTCCTGGATGTTCTGCTTCTGGACATAAAAAGCTTACTGTCAGTGAACCCCCAGCACAGGACGTGGGAGCCTATGAACCAGGACCTGGCTACTGCCTACAGTGTACCGCCACCTAACACCTCTCTCTAATACAATCTCCGAATTCCTTACTTATATCAGGTAATCTTGGCCATCTGTGTTAAAGATATATACAGGTAGTTAACTTACTGACCACAACAAGTACACTACAGTAATATAAGTCAGGTAAACTATATAGTCTTTCACGCTCACACATTATTCCATCTTTGAGCAAGACACTTAACTTCCTCCTTCCCTTCCCTATAACTTCCTTATCTCCTCTCCTAATTCCTCTTTCATTTACCTTTCATCATTCACGTCCACAAAGCCGCCTTATTCTCCCCCTCCCCCTTTGTTCCTCTTCCTCCTCCTTCTACTTCATTTCCTTCTTCCCCTTTAGCTGTTCCTCTTCTTTATAGTGTTTCTCATTCCTAAGGCGTGCACATCCTCCCTCCTCTCTGTCCCCCCTCCTTCCCTCCCTCCTCCTGGCTCAAGCTCCTAAGGGTTGAATTCAGAGTTTGTGCATTAAGGAAAAAAAAATGTTCACAGCCGCGTCCGCATTATCCAAATTTGGTAGAACCTAATAGTGATTGTGTTGGTTATCTTCCTGTGCTTGAGCTGTCATGTGTGTGTGTGTGTGTTCTAGCGAGTGCGTTTTAATGTTGATTTACTTTTTAGTTAATAGATATAATGCCCGCTGTGTGCTTCTCGATACTAATGATTTACTTGGGAATAATGTTAACAGGTGGAGGTGGGTCGAGAAAAGAGATAGTCCAAGATGTTGACCTCGATGTAAAGAAGGTTATATTGGGTCATGAACAATGTGGGGAGGGGGGGGGGGCACTTTGTTGCCCCGCCCTGCCCTCATCCCGCCCCGTTCTACCCCTCCCTCCCTGCCCTGACCCATTTGCACTCAGCTCTCACCCACAAAAACTTGCAGGGGAGTTCACAACCACATTCTGGAGATTATCCTTATTCCCGATGGATAATACTGCCGAGCTTCGCGTTCTTTAAATAAGTTACTTTGCATAATTGACAAGATAAACCAATTTGTAGAGAACGAACGCCTGCATCATGGGGTCCCTCCTGTCAAAACAATGTCTACGCTACATCGTTGAAGTAAGTTTATAATCTGACTAAAAAAAAGAAGAATATAAATACATACATCTCACAGTAAATTATTTATGAGATTGCATAATGAATGAGGTAAAGCTATTGTAAACAGCGAACGCCTGCACAATTATTTATACTCAGGGTTCCCTCTAGTCAAAACAAAGTCTGGGGAACACCATAAAATATTACGTTCATCCAATAAGAAATATAAAATGTATAAAGGAGAGATACAATAATCACAGTTATATTTACGTAATATGAAAACCATTTAAGGAATCCGGAGAGATTTTATTATACGAGAGAACAGGAACTCGGAGGAAGGGAAGGAGTGAGAGGGTTAGAATGAAGGGGTAACTTATGATATAGAGTGAAGGGGTAACTTATGATATAGAGTGAAGGGGTAACTTATGATATAGAGTGAAGGGGTAACTTATGATATAGAATGAAGGGGTAACTTATGATATAGAATGAAGGGGGTAACTTATGATATAGAGTGAAGGGGTAACTTATGATATAGAGTGAAGGGGTAACTTATGATATAGAGTGAAGGGGTAACTTATGATATAGAGTGAAGGGGTAACTTATGATATAGAGTGAAGGGGTAACTTATGATATAGAATGAAGGGGTAACTTATTAAGCGATATAGAACGAAGGGGTAACTATGATATAGAATGAAGGGGGTAACTTATGATATAGAGTGAAGGGGTAACTTATGATATAGAGTGAAGGGGTAACTTATGATATAGAGTGAAGGAGTAACTTATGATATAGAGTGAAGGGGTAACTTATGATATAGAGTGAAGGGGTAACTTATGATATAGAATGAAGGGGTAACTTATGATATAGAATGAAGGGGTAACTTATGATATAGAGTGAAGGGGTAACTTATGATATAGAGTGAAGGGGTAACTTATGATATAGAATGAAGGGGTAACTTATGATATAGAATGAAGGGGGGTGACCTCATTAATCTCAAACTGATACCTCTGACATTAAGTTCATCCCACTGACATTTTTCCCCATTCCATTGACCTTAAATAGATCCGGATGACCTTAAGTTGAACCCAAATAACTTTACCCAACTCACCTTAAGTTCATCAGAGTGAAACTGAACTTGATGAGCCCAGCCAGTTCACACTGATCTTAATCTGATGTTGATAATCACAGGTTAAATCTGCTCATTAGAACCTGAATTCGTTTTATGTGAACCTGGGCTCAGATTCTCGGAAGTTCAACACGATCATTCCACAGATTCCATATATGAGATTTTTGTTGTTAAGTGAACGTATCTAATTTTGAGGAGAGACTGGGTGTCCTTTTGCCTTCTACCTGGTGTTAAGTGAACGTAACGTAGTTTAATATTTTTTTCAATTGGGCGGTTCCTTTTCTGTGATTTAACTTAAAGATCAACTCCAGTACTCTTATGTCAGTGTTATTGTCGGTAGATTTAAAATTTGGGAAATACGGTCGGAACAGTTTGGGCAGAAAAATGGCCAAAACGAAATAAAAAAAATAGACGTCCGACAACTTTCTCAACTTTTTGGTGCGCGGCGTGACATGAGCTGAAGAGACTCTCGGTGAGTTCCATTAGCATCAACAGTACCTAACCTAATGAACAGGGTGAGGTTGGTTCAGTGTAGTTATAAATAAAAAATTTGTCTCAACATCTTCATATGATGTAAATCTATATAGGAATTAAAGAATATACTTATTATGAGTATTCTGAACGAAGGTGCCAGGCCGGTGTATTCAGTTCTTCGTCAACTTGCTGGACAACAATAGGTATTGAACCAGAAAGGTTATTACCACTATTATGTATCACCGAAGCTCTGTAACTGTGCGTGGTATCTTGCTCGCCCAGATAATATATGGTAATGAATCTCAGGCGTACAGTACGTCCATGATTACTGATGACCTGCCAGTGGCCACACCTGACGGCAGCCATTTGCTGTGTCCCCAGGCTGGCCTTCCCGATCTGGTAGTTGCCAAGACGTGTTTGAATCAAAACTTATTGGGATATGAAAGAATTTTCAGGTAGTTACAAAAAAATTATGAAACTGCATTACGATTATCTTTAACGAATGGAGTTTTAAACTATGAAATATATTTTCATCTGGTTACGTCATGGCTGTCTCTACTAGATGGGAAACAGTTTTGTAAAATTCATAATCTAAAATATCTAAATTTTGAACAAACGGCTACGTTTTTATATTTTTTTGGCAAGGAAACATGTTGGCTGCATCAGCCTTGAAACTTATGGATGTCACTGAGGAGAGATGTTTTCCTGTGGAGCTGTCCTTTAAGAAACCCAGTCAGGTGCTTTCATACTGTGCGTTCTGTACATCACTTCCAAGGATTGTTCATCATACGAGCCTTTGAGAACCTGAATCTTGGCCTCGCTGGTGTGATAAATTGAGTTCATTGTTGTCATGATTTTGACAGTAATTGTAAGAAAAACTGTCTTCTAAAACTTGAAAAGATTTCTTGCAAATCATTTCTTGGCAAGACAACAAAAGTTTTGGACCAAGGCCACCCTCCTAGGGAACCCCCACCCACTCTGAGCTATTGGTCAGAAATTGATGGATGCCACTCGTTCCACCAGGGCCACTCAGAGACATCACTTTGGCCATCAGAGTCAGTAAGGTTCGTTACTGTCAGGCTATCAAGGACACCCAAGACCATCACCGTGGTCACAGAAGCCATCGCATTGTGCACCAGGACCACTCAGGCCTCGCCTGTGGCCATCAGGGAATCAGGACCATCATTGCAGTCACCAAAGCCATTCAGGGTTATCATGGTCATTCCTGTGGTCACCAGGGACACCAAGGAAATCAAACAATGAAATCTTACCAAACCTAATTTGGGTAGTTTGGTGTTGGCAAGATAGCACTGACTGCCATGGAGTTACATATTTAAAAATAGAGTTTATTATCCTTATTTAGCAACAAAGACAACTTCGTTTTAAATCTTAATCACATGGTTATCTTCAAACGCAGAATAGGGTCATTAAGAGTGACCACACGAACACCAGGAACACGATAAATGCCATCAATAGGACCATACACGTACAGCACCAGAGAGAGAGATCAAGCAGGATGTCTTGCTCCACCACAGTTCCCCACATACCTGGTGGTTGTAGCGGAGCATCAGAGCCATGCCAGTGTAGCAAGTGGGTGTGTAAATCAGCAAGTTATCACAGCGCCTCGCCATATCGGGGGTTCCGCGTTACCCCACATGGCGTTTGTGACCTGCCAGACACACGATGACTCCCTCCCACCTCCACAAAAGTAACGCTACGAAAACCCGTTTTTTTTTTTAAGAAAATTATCCGAGTCAGTAATAATCCCCTGTGATATTAAATACCATGTTGGCGTTATCATCTAGATATCATGTTCTACTCCTGCAATAATGACGATGTTTAACGATAACTTGTGTTGCAGTGTTGGATCCTCCTGATAAACAGCTTCTGGAATCAAAGCAAAACAGGAGCTACTGAACCACATGATGT